AGCCACCCAGGCGCCTGCCCATTGGTTTACTTTAACGAACCTGTTAATAACTTTGCGTATGCCCATCTCCCACATGCATGAGCACGTCTTAGGATGAACTCCCAGAAGCAGAATCACTGGGTGTAAGGATAACGCCTTCGGTAATCTGGATGAAACTTGCCAAAGTGGACTTTCAGGGGTGGCTAAGTCAGTGATCAATTGTCTTGCTCCTTGTTTCTCTCCAGGGTGATGCTGACAGGGACCCTGTCTGACCGGCAGCCTGCTGAACTCCACCTCTTCCGGAATTATGACGCCCCGGAGTCTGTACGGGAGCCTCGATTCAGCCAGAATATTAACCTCAAGCCTCCAGCTCAGCCCTCAGGTTAAAACCATATCTGATGCATCTGCAGGAAACAGCCGGCCTAAGAGGCTGCAGGGTGGAGGGTCAGAGTCATAGCCTTGCTGCCAGGCACCCCCGGCCCACCACCATCCCACCCGCTGCCCCCAGTCTTTATCAGCTGAGGGCAGGCAGAACTGGGGAGCTCTCCCACCTCAGGCAGCCTAGAGGAGCCTCCTGGAGGCCCTCAGTTGCACCCTGCCTTCCACCCGGACAGCAGGGCCAGAGAGCATGGCCTGTGGGTCGCGCTTCTGAAGAGTTCCCAGCCTCTCCCTCTTCCTGCAGACCCACAGACACACATGCACATGCACACTGAGGTCTGCAGTGCGTGGGTGTTGTCCCCTGTGCCACTGGGCCACCGCCTTCCCTCACCCCCCAGAGCAGCTGGTGTGGAGGGCTGCCCGGAGCAGTGGGGCAGCCCCCACCTACTTCCGGCCCAATGGGCGCTTCCTGGACGGTGGGCTGCTGGCCAACAATCCCACGCTGGACGCCATGACTGAGATCCATGAGTACAACCAGGACATGATCCGCAAGGTGAGAGCACCTCCAGTCAGAGGGGCTGGACATGACCGTCCACTGCAGCCACCGTGTTTCAGCAAATCTTACTAAGGATCGCCTCCTAGGAGAGCACGTGGCTTTTACTCTTAGGCTCATTCACTGGTGCGTTGGATAGCAGCTTTAACTCACACTTGAACCTGCTTGATGGGTGGCGTCTGCCTGGAGCTCTGTGCTACTCAGAGGGATTCTGAGGCCCAATCTGGTGTGAGTGGTGAAGGGCGCCTAGTGGGGAGAGCGGCGGGCACACCAGGATATGCCAGCCTCAGTGCTGGCCACTCTGCCCAGCCTAGGGACACGTGCTTGCCCTTGGGGAGCTCACGTCTAGGGGAGACTGTTTGCAAATGCCGCTCCAGGGATTTCGGGTGCTGTGATGGAGGGCTCTGCAGGAGCCCGGGAGAAGGATTGCCTCTGCTGAGAGACCTGGGGCTCGGGAAGGGCCCGTGGAAGAGGCCTCTAGGGAGGCGACAGTGCTGAGTCAGTGATCCGGAGGAACAGAAGTGGCCCTCGGCCCAAGGAGCTTAGCACAGGGGTGGGGCAAGGGCCCTGTGTGTTAGCGACGTGCTGTGCGGTGGGCTCAGGCCTCAGGGCCAGACAGCCGCAGGGTTGGGGTCCCGGCTCTGCCCGTGTTTCGCGCCAGCCACTTGCATGGGGGAGTGACGGTACCTGCGGGGGGACTGGCGTGAGGCATCCGCGTGCCTTTCTGTAAAATGTGGAGGACACTGCCTGACCCCTAGTGTGCCAGGTCCTTCCTGGCTACCGTTCTTACTGTGGTCATCGGGAAGCCCCGGATTCAGCCCCTGGGTGACACAGCAAGGGCGGCTGGCACGGAGGCAGGCGCCCTCTAGGGGCCAGACGGGGCAGGGCAGGCTTTCTGGAGGAGGAGGGCCTCCCCACATTCGGATGGGGAAGGCTCTTCATCATCTAAGTGGCCTCCTGTGGTGGATGAGTCCCCCGGGGAGGGGGCACTTGACAAGGTGCCCAGCATATTGGCAGCGGGGCTTGTTGCAGAGCCAAGGAGGGGACAGCACAGGCTCTGTTCCTGCCGCCTGGGGAAGGGTCTGCCGGCGGGAAGACCCCCTCCAACTACCCCTGTCCTGTCCCCAACAGGGTCAGGGCAACAAGGTGAAGAAGCTCTCCATTGTGGTCTCTCTGGGGACAGGGAGGTCCCCACAGGTGCCCGTGACCTGTGTGGATGTATTCCGTCCCAGCAACCCCTGGGAACTGGCCAAGACCGTTTTTGGGGCCAAGGAATTGGGCAAGATGGTGGTGGACTGTGTGAGTACGGGCCCCTCCCCAGCTCCACTGCCCTCCCGGCCTCAGCCCCTGGGACCCTGGGTGTCAGGGAGGCTCTGTTGAACCTCGTTAGCCAGCTCAGGGTAGAGGCTCCCCAATTCCGTCTCAGTGTTGGCAGGGACCCTTAGTGACCACGTACCGCTGGGGCTTTCAGGCGTCCTTTAACCGTGGAGCCCTTCCTTCGAACACAACCCCATGTGGAAGCCCAGACTATCACATGGGACACAAGCTGCAGGCGGCGGGACGCTGAGGCCTGTCCACTCAGCCCCTGCCCCGCTCCCCACCAGGCAGGTGCTGCTGAGCCGCCCGTGAAGACCACAGGCCGGGCCCCTCTGTTCCACACAGCTGGGAGAGTCACTGCAGCCCAGGCTGGGGGACTCCGCTGGGGGTGGGGTGGCTAAGCCAGACTGAACCAGGGGATCCCCAGTGGTGGGGGTGGGGTGGCTAAGCCAGACTGAACCAGGGGATCCCCAGTGACTCAGGGTATGGTGTGTGCTGAACGCTCACAGAGACCACTTCTTGCCAGTGCACAGATCCGGATGGGCGGGCCGTGGACCGGGCCCGGGCCTGGTGTGAGATGGTTGGCATCCAGTACTTCAGGTGAGGACTCAGCCAGCATTGGCCCAGCCCCATGCCCCGGCCTGGCCAGACCCAGTGACCTTCCCCACCCAGCCCTTGGTGCGCTCTTCCCCTTTCCCCAAGCGGCTGCTCTGTGTCCCGAGCCCACCCCAGTCCTCGCTCTTGTCACCCACCCAAACCAAGCCTCCTGGGGTGAGCCCTCCTCCTTGACCCAGACAGATTGAACCCCCAGCTGGGGACAGACATCATGCTGGACGAGGTCAGCGACACGGTGCTGGTCAATGCCCTGTGGGAGACTGAGGTCTATATCCATGAGCACCAGGAACAGTTCCAGAAGCTCATTCAGCTGCTGCTGTCACCATGAGGCTGGACTCCCAGCCACCCCCACCTCATTCCACCCACCCAGCCCCTGATGGAGAGGCTGGGCAATGTCCACCCAGCGCGCCAACTGGGCAGACCTGGGCCTGGGCAGCTCTGCATCTACAGACCAGACCGGGCCTCAGAGGGTGCTGGGCTTCCTGCCTAAGGCTGGTCCTGAAGGCCTGACCCACTATCGCCACCCTCTGGCACCTTTAGTCATTGCAGGCTTAGAAATCCTAGAACCTCGCTGGGGCCCTCTCCCCAACAGCCAAAGACAACTGGCCCTTGAGCCCCTAGACCTGGTGATTTAGACACTAAGGGGGTCTTACCGGTCCCCTCAAGACCCCTTCCACCCTCTGCCCTCTTCCCTGGAGGGGACGGCGATTGGAGAAATAGGCTGCTGCCCACCCATCAGCAGGGGAAGCCTAGGCTCCAGGAGTGGAGTTCCCTATCCGACTTTGCCCCTCAACACACAACGAGCCACCTGCACCCCTCAGAGCTGCCCCACCCTGGGAGCTCTCCTCCGCTCTCAAAGGTCACTCCTGTAACCTCAGTTATTCTTCCCAACAGGAAGTGGTAGGTGAGGGGGCGGGGCTCCAGGAGCTGCTCCAAACCGAAATAAATGGTTTGATTCCAGTTCAGCTGTGTTGTGTGCACTGTGCTGTGAGTGCTCCCGTCCCCCGGCTCCCCCCAGCTCCCTTCAACCAGCCTGTCATCATCCTGTGCCCCCTTGGATAAGTGCTCTGTTTCCCCGCCTCCCCCAGTGGGGGGGGGGCACCACTTTTTTTCTCCAGGCCTCCCCAAATCAGGCCGGTGAGGGTGTTCAGAGGCGGCAGCTAAGCCCGCTTGCCCACAGTGGGAGGCGAGGGTGAGCCCCATTTGCTGGGGCAGGAGATGAGACCCAGAGAGGGCAGGGGGCTTGGGCACGGTCACAACCAGCGAGCGGGGCCAAGGTTTGTCCCAGGTCTGTGCGGCTCTAGGGTTCGTGCTGCCAGCATGAGGAGGTGGGCAGGCAGCGGCCCATGTGGGAGCCTCGGCCCTCGAGGTGCGGGGTGAGGGGTTGGGGGTAGAGAGGAGGCCAGAGAGCCGTGACACCCAGTGGTACATTTGGACTTCAGGGCTGGGTCTGTCAGAGAGGGTCCCGGGGGAGGGCCCCCAGCCGCTCTGGCCCTATGACTTGGGCCATGCCCGATGTGGGCAGACGGTAGGGCGGGGGTACCCCCCCAGAGCCAGGGGTCCCTGGTCGACCTAAGACAGTGGCCCATCCACGCGTGCCCACCGGCCCACGGCTCAGAGGGGTAAATAATTGAAGGGCAGGTCACACGAACCTGCCCGCGTCACGGGATGCCTTCCGCCGGGTCTGGTTACGCCCCAGATCGCATTCTGACATCCCTGGCTGGTGAATAATTAAGCTGCCACCTCCTCCCTGGCCACCACCACCGGCAGGCCCTCCGTCTCCAGGTCCCACTCTGCAGCTTTCTTTGCTCCCTCAAAGTGGTGGGCACTATAAGGGACCGACCCCCCGCGCTTCCGGCCCTGCCAGCACCTCTGGCCTCCTGCCCAGCAGCCGACTTGCAGCCCACTCCATGGCCCCCGAGATGGACCAGGTCTACAGGTCCACCATGGCCATCTACAAGGTGAGCAAGCGTGTGGCCCAGGCCCCAGGCCCGAGTGCCCCTTCCCAGGGCTCGAGGGTCCGACCGGCTCTGGAGGACAGAGGGTGAGCATGACTGCAGCATGGTCTGGAAAGGAAGACCCAGAGTCAGGCTGGGTTGTGGTCACAGGGGTGGGAATCCCTGGGGGCAGTCAGCCACCCCAGCCCCATCCTGAGGCTCCCAGGGCAGAGGTTTGTCCATAGTCACCCAGCGAGTGACAGGCCCGCCGAGACGGCACACCTAGATGCTGGACCAAGGCAGGACGGGGCCCAGGGTGGCTAGAGGTGGGAGCGAGGGGGGGCCCAAAGAGCCACCTGGCCCAGGACCAGAGAGTCCCTCTCTGTGTGTCTCTCTCTGTCTTCCTGTCTCTTTCCATCTCTCCTTTCTGAGCCCCTCACTCAAATTTTCTACTTCACACCAGAGGGGTTGCCGCTGTCCCCATAGGCTTTTATTGGGCACCTCCTGTGTGCAGGACCCTTTCACATGTAAACCTCACAACACCCTGCCTCTAGGATAGAAAATAATCACCCCAAAGGAGAGATGAGAAAGCCAAGGCCAGCACGGTTCAACAGCTTGTTCAAGGTCTCTGAACATCCCCGAGACGCTTCTGCAATTTGAACCAAGACCCAAGTCTAAGTCCATGCCCCAGGCCCTCTGCACCCCGAGGGTACTCTCCAGCTGGCCGTGGCCTGAGGTGGCCCGTGACGCAGCCACAGCGTCGCTGCCAAGGGGCTCTTTCTGAGGAAGGCAAGATCTGCCCTTGCCCCTGGGGTGACTGTCGGCCACCCACGTGTCCAGCCCGGCGAGGCCTGGACCCAGCGCAGGGTTGAGCCACACCCAGCTGGGGGCCGCAGCAGACCACGAGCTTCCTCCCAGTGGGAGGAGGAGAACCTTCCAGGTGCATTGTCTTGGGAGCAGGTTCCTGCCAGGGCAGGTATGTGAGCAGAAGCTGGCCTGGGACAGGGATTCGGGGAGATGGCCTCGAGGCCCCTGCAGCAGAGTCAGGATTCGGGGTGACTCCACGCTTCTAGGCGGGTTCCCCTAGAGTTGGACTCCTCTCTGGGGCTGGACGGGGTCCCTGCGCCTGAGGCCCGGTAACTTACCTCTGCCCATCGACCTTTCTTCCTCTCCCTCTCCCAATCTTCGCCCTCGCTCCCGTTGGCCTGGGGCTCCCAGAGCATCATGGAGCAGTTTAACCCCGCCCTGCAGAACCTGGTGTACCTCGGAAACAATTACCTGCGGGCCTTCCATGGTAAGTGGCCGGCCCGGGGCCCCCAGCCCCTCAGCCTCCACTGTCCCCATGCACCTGTCCCTCCATGCATGTCACCTGCACCGCCCCCTTTGTCTGCACCGCACACCAGACACCCCACTCAGGCTCACCTCTCCACACTCCCGTCCAGCACCCTCACCTGCGCACACCCACACCCTCCTCTGCCCGCTTCTTAGATGCCCCCCAGATGCTCCCAGAGATGCGGTGCCCGGTCCTGGCGGCCTCCACGGCCCCAACAGCACGCACTCCTGTATGTCACCCTGATGCTGCCCCGTGAGCGCACTGCTGTGCCCAGGCCCACCTCGGCAAGCCCGTTGCGCCACAGCTGTGTGCCCTCACTCTGCCCAGGGCCCCCCACCCCCCGCCGACAGCTGAACCTCACGGTGCCCGCGCAAACAGCTACCCCTCCCCCATTTCCCAACAACCCCCGCTCCACCAAGGCTGATCACACCACCAGGGCTTGCAACCCTCTGTGCCAAGGACAAGCCAGGGACACACCCGGAGCTGAGGGCCACCCAAGCCCTCCCTGCCTTTCAGGACTTTGGAGTCAAAGCCTGCTTCCCCCCACCCCAGCTCCCCCAGCCCACCCGCACCCCACACCCCTACACCTGCGCGTCACACCACACCTGCCCACACCCTCCCTGCGGGTACACACGGCTGCCTGCGCCCCCACTCATGACAGACACACGCTGAGTCCGGGTGCGGGGTACAGCTGCCCTGGGCCCTGCTCCACGCCCGCTTCCTCCTCTGGCCAATACCCCGCGTCCACACACACCACCCAGGACACCCCTCCCTCTCCCAGACGCTTCTGCCAGTTCCCACAGTATCCCCTCCGCGCACCCTCTCTGGACAGGAGGGGTCTCCAGAGGGCGGGGGCAGATGGAGGAGGGGGCTGGGCCTACATGCATCCCCTGTCCCTACGCAGCTCTGTCCAAGGCAGCTGAGGTGTACTTCAACGCCATCCAGAAGATCGGGGAGCAGGCCCTGCAGAGCTCCACCTCGCAGATTCTGGGTGAGGCGCTCCCCCTTCCACCATATCCCCCAATCTTTCTTGGGCCTGAAGGGGCTCTCCTCCTGGCCCTGCATCTGCCCCAGGCTGCCTCCTGTGGCCCAGGCCCCTCTGTCTCCCTGGTGCCATCACTCAGGGGCCTGCTTGGCCCACCAGCCTGGGATCCCAGAGAGGGTTCCTTTCTTGTTCTCACCCTTCCTGGAAACCCCACCAAGCCATAGGCCTTGCAGCCCATGGCGAGCCCAGAGCCCAGACTCTTGTTCTGGAGCCCAAGCCCCTCCCTGCCACTCCCTGCAGGGCTGTTCCAGGGCCAGGACGAGCACAGCCATCCTCCCAGCACCCTATGGGAAATCCTTGGACTTTGGCCCCCAAATCCCCTCTCAGGCAGCCGCGGGGGCAGCTTCTAGCAGGAGGAGGGTGGGTGGGCGGGCTGCCCTCCCTGAAGGCGGCTCTCCCTCCGTGCCTCAGGGGAGATCCTGGTGCAGATGTCGGACACGCAGCGGCACTTGAACTCGGACTTGGAGGTGGTGGTAAGTACCGCGGCCCTGAGGCGTCACTCCGGAGAGTGGGCTGCTTTCCAGGGAAGACAAGGGCCCAACCCTCCACGGCCTTTCTCAGGGAGGGCTCCCTGCGGCCCTTAGTGACACACAAGCGTGGCTGTGCCTGCCAGGCTGTGCGGGGCGTGTGCACCTGCCATAGCCTGTTCAAGCTTCCGGCAACCCCAGGAGGCAGCCGCCACTTCTGTCTCCCTTCTACAGACCAGGAAACTCAGTCTTGGAGATCGAGTCCCTTGCTCCCAAGTCCAGAGCGAGTGGAGGAGCTAGGGAGAGAAAGGACCACTGCCCAGGTGCACGCGGCCAGGCCCTGCTCCTCTCTGGCTCCCCAGCCCCTCCCTCCAAGCTCCCAGGGAGCAGCCAGCCACTGGACCTTGTCACACCCATGAGAAAACCCCACAGAACTAAACGCAGTCTCCCCAGTGAGGGATCCCGGGCCCTGCTGACCCAGCAGCCTCCGTGTGGCACCCCCAGTCACAGCCCAGCCCCGAGAAGAGCTTCCCTCTGCAGACACGGCCTGGGGCTCCTACCACTGGGCTGTCTTCATGCTGTTCTCTCAGCCTAGAAGCAGCCCCAGCCTTGCCGGCCAGCACCTTACCAGGCCTCCCTTGACCCCTGGGCAAGCTCATTACTTCTTCTAGACTCCAATGGGTGCTTCTATGCATTCTTAGCACTCGGTGGTTAAGAAAGCCAGCTCTGCAGCCAGAGCACCTGGGTTCACAGCCCAGCGCCACCTGCCACTGGCTTGTGACCTTGAACAAGCCTCTCTGTGCTTTGGCTTATCTGTCTGTACAATGAAGACAATCATAACTACGGGCAGGACTCTTGGGAGGACCAAGTGAATTCATAAGGATAAACTAGTTGCTCTCCATGCATCTTCGTGGTGATAATAGGCAGCAGGATCTACCGGCCTGTCTCTATCCCTGCCGAGACTGGGAGCCCTGCAAGGGCTGGGGTGGGGCCTGGCACCGAGCAGGGTTCCCTGATTCTGGATGGAAAGAGCAAGCTTTGAAGAGAGTGGGGGCTGGCCAAGTGGGGAGGAGACGAGAAGGCGTCCCCAGGGGGCACTGTGGGCGGAAGCCAGCCAAGGATGGGGAGCTGGGGCAGAGCAGGAGAAGGCCTGGTGGTGATGGGTCTTGGAAAGCTCGGGAGGAAAGGTCAGCTCATTGCAACAGCACGTGGCTCTCAAACGTGTGGGGGGAACCCTTGGAAGTCAGGGTGCACTTTGGGGGACACCAGAAAATACTCAGCAGTTTGGCTACCATGCCAAAATGGGGAACAATTTCAGGAGCAGAAAACGTTCATCCACCTGCCCAGGATAAAACCCTGGGACACCTGCAGGCTTAGGGCTCAGCCGTGCCCCATGCTGGGGCTCAGGAGGAGAGTCAGGAGCGCAGCTCGTGCTGGTGGCCTGTGGCTTCCCATCCTCGGGAAGGATGTGACGAGTGTCATCCAGGCCCTCTCTGTGAGGAGAGCTGCCGTCCCTGGGCACCAGTGTCTTGGCTGTGACAACCAGGCGGGGCCCTTGGCCAGAACCAGACCAGACCCGACGCAGCCGATGCTGCCTCCCCTGGGGGCTCCTTCACCCGACAGCCATCTACAGCCGGGTGCTGGGTGCCGTTGCAGGCCTGGCGGGGGGTGGGGGGGAGCGGGACAGCAGACAAGACCCTTGCCCTCCCCAAGGGCGGGGCCAGACAAAACCCAAGACTAACAAGTGAGTATATACGCAACAGGATAGATGCAAAATGTGCTCCGGAGGAAAATAGAGCAGGGAAGGCGCATAGTGAGTGTTGGTGGGCTTCAATTTTTTAACAGATATCCAGGAAAACAGCCCGAGGAAGGGGACCCTGAGAGAGGCCTAGAGGAGGGGGGGGTGTCAACCAGGGAGACGCGTGTGGGAAGGGTGTTCTGGGCAGAGGCAACAGCTCCGAAGGGCTAGCAGAGGCGCGTGTGAAGGAGATGATCGGCCACGACAAGAGCCCCGTCATGTGCCCTCGCTGGGGCTCTAGCCATTCCGAGTGTGCGAAGCCAAAGAGCGACAGGATCTGACTTTTCTTAATTGTAAACGAAAACACAGACAGGGAACACCTCAGTGAGCAAATTAGAGCTTAAGGAATCATTTTAAGGCAAACTACCATCCAGGTCAAGAACTGTGCCGCCTCCCCCGGAGCCCCTCCCTGCACCCCCTGTCAAAATCACAGCCCCTCCCTCCCCTCCTCCCTCCAAAGGTGACCACGGATCCGACACTTCCTTGTGCTCCTTTGTAGCTGATCAGTGGGGCATACATCCCTAGACACTAGAGTTTGGTTGTGCTCTGTTTCTTTTTTTCAAATATGCCTTTGAGTTTCTCAGTCAACTGGTTCCCCTCCATCCCTTTCTTTCCCTTACGACTTGTCTGTTGAAGGCCCTGGGGCCCTATGACTGGTTTTCCTACAATCTGGAAATTGCTGATCTCACATTCCTGGCATAGTTCAGCTTGTTCCTCTGTCCTCTGGATGCGGGGGCTCGATCAGACCCAGGTTCTATCCCTCTGGCAAGTCCACAGAGAGCGCTGGATTCTTCTAGCAGGAGCCACCTCACATCTGTAGCCACGTGATATTAAGAGCCATGGGGGCTCAGTGTGTCCAGATCCGTTCCCCCATTGGGAGTTAACGGCTCTTCTGATGCTCTCTTACCCGTTAACTGGGAGACGATGTTCCTTACCTACTCTTTGTTACCAGTGGCACGTTTTGTGTGGGAAAAGCAGGATCAAGGTTTACTCATTCCCTTTACTCATTAGCTTTTAAGAGCATGAGCTCGCTCCCTGTCATCCTCTGAAGGTGACCCATTAGCCGTATTGTTTTCCTCGCACCATTACTGTAGTATTTTTTAGTATCATCGGTATTTGTAGATTTAAACACATTTGATGTATTTCAGTCCTTTGCAATTTTATTGTCTTTAGCCAAGTTGAAAATGTCCCCCTCTTTGGCCAATAGAAACTTCCTCAGTCTGGCTCCTGAGTCTCTTGGGCACAACCCTAGTAGTATTGACAGCTTTCTGGCTGTCTTGCTCTTCTTATGGGTCTTGCTCCTCTTATGGGTCACATGGCATCTCCTTTGTTCCTGGCCCTCATCAAGAATCCTGATTCTCGAGGATACAGGGAATGAAAGCATTCAGACATCCTGGTCATCTTCTGACACAGAACATTGAATGTTGCTGCTGAAAAGTCTGATGATCTATTTTTTCCCATCATAAATCATTTGCTTTCTCAGCCTAGGTGCCCGAAAGATTTTTCCTTTTTTTCTTTTTCTTCAGTCTAGTAATTTTTCTAGACATGTCTTGGTGTTGATCAGTCTGGGTCAAAATTCCCAGTCCCATGGTGTACTTTTACAGTAAGTAGATTTAAATCTTTTTTTTTTTTTTTAATTTCAGAAATGTTATCTTGAATCACAGTTTTTAGAATGTTTTTGTTCTCTGTCTTTGCATTTCTTCTTCAGGAACTCCTATTATCTGTATGTTAGATCTCCACAGCTTATCTTCAACATCTGTCCCTTCCTCTTGGCTGTTTTTACTTTTTTCTTCCTTGCTTCCCCCCACACACTTCCAGATGTTATGATTTAATACCTGGACCAAGAATGGAGCCCATAATAGAAGTCCTATCATGGATGTATCTATATATACAATAATAGATAAAAATATATTCTCATATATATTGTATATATTATATACTAAATATATAATATCAGCTTGAAATTCACTCCTTTAAAATATACAATTTAGACATTTTTAATGTAGTCACTGAGCTTTGAACCCATTCCCACTATCTAATGTTAGAACATTTTCATCACCCCCTTCCCCAAAACACTGTCCCCATTAACGTTTGCTCTCGTTTCTTTGTTTCTTTTCATTAAAAAAAAGTTTTCCTCCTCTTTGGCAACCCACTCTCTGATTTCTGTCTCTGGAGGTTCATTTTGCTTGTTCTAGGACTTCATATGACGGAAATTGTACATATGTGTTCCTCTGTGACCTGCCTTGTTCGCCCAGCGTAATGTCGGTAAGATGGCTTTCATGCTGTCACAGGTATCGAAGTCTTGTCCTGTTTGATTGCTTACTATTCCACTGAAGGAATCTACCACAATTTGTTTATCTCCTTTTCTGCTGATGGTTATTTGGGTTATTTCCCGTTTGGGATTACTATGACTAGAGCTGCTGTGAACATTCTTGCACAAGTCTTTTGTGGATGTATGTTTTCATTCCTCTTGGGCAAATACCTGGGAGCAAAATTTGTGGGTCACAGGACTGACATATATTTGGCTTTACACGAAACCACCAAAGAGCTCTCCAAAGCTGCTGTGCTAGCCACACCCCCACTAGCAATGTGTAAAAGCTGCTGCTGCTCGTCATGCTTGCCAACCTTCGATGTTGTCTTTGTTATTTTAGCCATTCTAGAAGGTACGAACGGTACCTCATTGTGGTTTCATTTTGCATATGCCAATGATTAAAGACTTTAATGGGCTTACTGGGCATTTGCATATCTTCTCTCTTGAGGTGTTTGTTTAGTACTTTGCCCATTTATTGCCCATACTGACTGTTGACTTTTGGAGTTCTTTATTTAGTCAGGATATGAGTCCTTTATCAGATATATGCATGGTGCATGTTTTTTTCCCCCCAACCTGTTGCTTGTCTATTCATTTTCTAAATAGTGTCTTTGATGAGCAAAACTTTTGCATTTTTAGGAAGCCCAATTTGGCTATTTTATTGTTTTCATTTTACAAGAGGAGGAATCTGTTTAAACTCAGTAAACCACCTTACAATTCATGGGACTAATGCTATGGCAACAGCAAACACCTGCCTCTGCTAATTTGACAATTTTAAAAAGTGGTTTGTGTTTGTATCCTACTTAAGAAATCTTTGCCCACCACCATGGCAAAGATACTCTAAGTTTTCTTGTAGAAGCTCTGTGTTCTGGACTTTACATTTATTTCTATGATCTATCTTAAATTTGCTTTTGTGTATGAAGTGAGATAGAATCAGGGGTTCTTTCCCCCTGTATAGACATTCAGTTGTTCTAGCACCATTTCAAAAAGACTTTGCTTTCCCCATTGAACTGACTTAGTGTCTTTGTCAAAATTTGATTTGTTGTATATGTGTGGGCCTATTGCTGAGCTCTCTACCCTGTTCCATTGATATATTTGTCTATCTTTATACCAATACCACAACTCTATTCATTGCTGTGGCTTTATAGTGAGTCTTAAAAATCAAATAGTCTAGGGGCGCCTGGGTGGCTCAATAGGTTGAGCATCTGCCTTCAGCTCAGGTCATGATCCCAGGGTCCTGTGTTCAAGTCCCACATTGGGCTCCTTGCTCAGTGGGGAGCCTGCTTCTCCCTTGGCCTGCTGCTCCCCCTGCCTGTGCTCTCTCTCTCTCTCTCTGTCAAATAAATAAAATCTTGTAAAAAATCAAATAGTCTAAGAATTTTGTTCTTCTTTCTCAAAATTATTTTGCACATTCAAGATCCTTTGCTTTTCTATATGTAGAATCAGCTTGTCAATTCCATTAAGAAAACCTGCTGGAATTTGGACAGGGATTGCATTAATCTATAAATTGCCATCATAGGGGCACCTGGCTGGCTCAGTCAGTAGAGCATGCAACTCTCGATCTCAGGGTCATGCGTTCAAGCCCCACATTGGGAGTGGAGCCTGCTTTAAAAAATATATATAAATTCATGGTCATCTTAACAATATTGAGTCTTCTGATCCATGAACATGGTATACCTCTCTGTTTATTCATTTCTCATAGCAACCCCTTGTCATTTTCAGGGTGGCAGTCTTGCACATCTTTTGATAGATTTGTTCCTAGGTATCTGGCTTTTTTAGCCTTTAAAATTGGAATTTTAAAATTTCATCCTCCAGTTGTTCATTGTTTGACTTATATTTTAGTAGGATCACTCTGGCTCCTGTACTAAGAAGAAAATATTAGCAGTGGAGGGCAAAAGCAGAGCAGGAAGACCAGTTTAGAGGCTATGGCAATAATCTAGGGGAGGGTTGAAATGGCTTGGGAAAGTGGCAGCAGTGGTAGTGTTGAGAAGAAGTCAGACTAAATGTAAAGCCGATAAGATTTTCTGATGGAGTAGATGTAAGTTGCAAAAGAAAAGGGAAAATCAAACTATCTCCAAGGTTTTGTCCTAATCAACTGGAAAGGTGTAGTTGCCATCAGCTGAGGTGGGAAATACTGAGTGTGGAACATTTCAGGTGGAGGCAAGAGATTAGGGACTTAGTTTTAGACATGGTAAGTTTGAGACACTTATTAGAAAACCAACTGGAGGTGTGGACATCAGTTGTATGTATGAGGCTAGAGTTTGGGGTCAAGGTCTAGGCTGGGTTGTTTGTCTGGGAGTCCTGAGCATATGGACGGATGAGCTCATGGAGGGAGTGGGTGTAGGAAGGGAAAGGAAGAGGCCCTGGGGGATCAGGAGGTGAGGGAAAATCAGCAAATGACAGAGAAGAGGCAGCAAGGATGGGAGGGTGGGGAGTGCAAGGAAAACCAGGAGAGGGTGGTAGGCTGGAAGCCAAGGGAGGAAGGTGTTTCAGGGGGAGAGAATGGTCAACTGTGCTGAATGATGACCACAGGATGCATCAGATGAGTCCTGAGAGCTGGCTTTGTGATGTGGAGTGTCAGTGATTTCAACAAGAACATTCTTATTGGTGTGGTGGGGCACAGCCTGACTGGAGGGGGTTCAAGAGCAAACTGGAAGACAGGAGTGGGGTCAGCCCACAGGGACAATTCTTCCGGGGCCGGGGCGGTGGGGGGGGGG